AGAGAGAGAAAGAAAGCTTCTAGCTTTTAGAGAGAGAGAGTTAGAGAATTCTGGGTGTTGATGATTTAAAAACAGGGAGAAACGAGCCCTATTTATAGGAAAAATAGCACGGGATTAAAGAAAATCATATTCGGAATAAAATACCTCCTGTCGCAAACGACAGGAGTCGGCGCCAGACAACAAGCTCGTTACCAAGCGACAAAGACCAGCGCAAGGCGAAAAAGGTCAGCGCCTGGTGACGACTCTATCATCTCGCACTGGTTCAAAAGTCAACACACTTTTCCACCCGTAATCACCTTTTACACCGGTTGCAGGTAATTATGTGTCCAAGCAGTTTTAATATAATTTTTATTCTAAATAAGTTTTAATATATTTTATTCTAAATATAATTTTGAAATAAGTTTTAATATATTTTATTCTAAATATAATTTTGAAATAAGTTTTAATATATTTTATTCTTAATAAAACATCTTTAAAATATAATTATCAATTCTTACCTTATTAGAATTAAAAAGAATCTTCTAGAAGATTAAAATCAATCTAATCACTTTAGGTTTATTAATAAAAAGGCCCTCCTCTAGATCATTGGGCCACCTTTAAAAATTATTGGGCATAATCTAATTTAATCCATAACTTCCTCATAATTCATCGGAATTGGCCTTACAATATATAATTGGAAAGCTCTTTTTGAGCCCAATTCCACTACACTATTATTAGACCCTTATCATGGACCAAACCAAATTATACTTGCTATTTTTCATAAATAGGAGTAAGTTAAGAAATATTTTCTAAAACAGAGAAATAAATATTTTAATAAAAACATCCTCATCATTTGACTTTCCACACTTTTACTTCATTCGATAATCAAGCGACGTGAAAGGTATTTATCACTAGGTTTGGTTTTGGGGAGACATATTTGGGTGTCTACACAAGGTGAGGAAGAAGAAAGACTATAAACAAAGAAAAATGTTATAACTTCAAGATAAAAGAAAAGAAAGAAATAAAAGAGATATAGGTACTCAATAGGGATACAATAATATAGGATAGCTGTAAAAACAACAGGATCAGGATCAGGAAGTGGTATCCGAAAGCATAATCAGGAAAAAATACAACACATAATCATTAGAAAGCGTAGTAATTAGGAAGCAGAGAAACATAACACATAACAATCAGGGAATCAAACAGCAATACCAGACACTACAGCAGAGAAACCATTAGTAAGAAAAACATCATCATCCATACAAAATATCAGAGAAGCAAGATATAAAAAATGATCAATAATAACAAGCAAAAGACACTCAGGGTGAACTATAAGAGGGAAGGGGAAAACGGTGAAGCACACAAAAAAACATAAATCACCCCCAAACTTGAAGTGAACTACCCCCCAAACTCTAATCCTAATAACACATAGGAAATAAGAGAACAACACATAAATCACGCAAGAAAAGGGAGTAGTCACGATAGTCTCACTCCGCGCTATGGTAAGGGGTAGAGTGGGAACTCCCCTCACCGGTCTTTAAAACATGACTCGAGCTAGCAATTTCAGTCACCTCCATTGGGGCCTTTGCCCTTAAACTCCGCTCTATCCTAGCATGATCTATTGCAAAGAACTGATACGAACCATCCAAGATGGACTCGCCCGACAATCCCCACCTACCAAAAGTCTCAGGTTTCGGGAAAGGCATAGAGTTTGCGGGATCATAAGTATAGTCTTATCCACTGGGCCGCCTATAATCGTAAGTAGCCGGGGTGGTGCCAAAAATAGCACTAGGATGGATATGAGGACCCTCTTAATAGGGTTAACAAGGTCCAGGTCCAGTTGATGGGTGAAAGGGTTCCTATTGAGGGATAGGTCCTTTTTTTACCAGGAGGTATGGAAAGTTACAGTAAGGGTCAATCTCCCCCCTCCTCACATGGAAATCATACACCTGACTCGCATGGAAATCATAGGGATAAATGCCGCCCCAAAGGCATGAAATACAAAACATTAGCAATGGAATCTAACTTCGCATGCAAAGTGGATAATTCAAGTGTAGTAGAAGAAGTAGAAGGAGGGATAGGAGTACCTCCCCGTTCAACCGGGGGAAAGACTTGTGAATTCGTCGAGATAACATCATTGGAAGCAGTTCTTGTATGGTTAGTCTTCGACCAAAGAGAAGGGTCGATGTTGCACCTTGGAGGCCTCTAAATTAATGAACTCTATTTTGTCTTGCAAACGATAGCTTCCTTGCTAGGGATCAAGAACCAATCCTTCACACGAGAGACCTTCCTAATGAAAATATCATGTCCCTTGGTTCGATCGATGAACTTTTGGTTGACAAGAGCATAGATGTTGAGGAAGTGGGAAGGCGTCTTCTCTCGAGGATCAACTATCGGAGGAAGTTCACAAAGCAAATTCGTGTATGAATCATTAAGGCATAGGGCAAGAATGGAGATTATTCCTCTAATTTGAATGCTTCTCGAAAGTTAAATAGCATCTCGAATATCTAGAAATCGGTTGATTAAATGTTGAGTGATCTACAAGCTCAAGCTGTTGTGGTTCTTGCTCGGCTATCCAAACATAATTCCTTACGGGAAATAGTTCCCAATGAGTCTTTAGAGCATACGGCATAGGTGAGAATATGATTAAAGTATCTCATAGCCGGATGAATGAATGATGCGGACTTTGAAGTTTGAGGTTCATATTTCCCTTAATTGGAGATTTGCCGCCAACAATTGAGTTCATCATACCCATGTTCACTAGTAATCTTACCATTGGCCGGATAGACAATATGATCTTCATTGACGACTTAAGGAAATCGGAAGTATAAGAAAAGTTGAGACTCCAATAACCGATGATCATTGTTAAATAGTTGAATGGTTAATGTCCTTGAAGAGTAACCAGTAGTCTCACGGACCACCTCAATGGATAAGAGAAACTCATATGTCACCCTAGCATAAGTAGGAGCACTCAAGTCCAAGAACTCCAAAAGACCAAGATTTTTGGCAAGGAGGCGGACATCATAATAGATTCCAAGTAATTGGTAGTTGCTTGATCATAGAACCTTGTGGATTTAAGCTTCCTCTTTGTTAGTTGATTGAACCTATCCTAATGCATTTCTTTAGAAAATTCAATGCCATACGTCTCTACCACCTCGGGAAGAGGTGGAAGAACGTGTCGGGATTTACTTGTGGTTGTTCTAGCTCACTTTTTTAACGTATAGGGGCTATCTACGAGAAGAAAAGCAATTCATGAGCAATTCATCAACAATTATCCTTGTTTAAGAATATGCATAAGCAATTTGCTCAAGAATCAAGCACACATATAATCTAATCAAAAATGAAACAAGAAATGGTCACAATGAACTATGCCATGAATATAGAAGCAAAATTTAGAGGCAACTATTCATGAATCAAAGGCAAAGCTTGACACAAAAGACCAAATCATGAATCATTATGAGCAAATTAATCCAAAAAATTGAGTTATCAAACAAAATAAAGCTATCATATAATATACCCATGAGAGAGAAAATATCCAACAATAGTGGTTCAAGGATTCAAGCAAGGTAAACAAATTCATCATGACAAAGCTTCAAGATATCATCAAATAACATAATTCAACACATAATACAAGCAAAAAGAACCAACAATGGAGCTCCACCATTAAAGCATAAACAAGGGTTTCAAGCTTTAAAAATGAGGAAGATGATGACTAGAAAGTGAGAAATTATACCTTAATGGAGCCTTAAAACACTTGAAATTGCACAAATGAAGAGTATAGACCAATAAGAATATTAAAAATCAAGTTCCAAATACAAAATCAAAAACCTAAAATTTTCAAATTTTTACCCAATTTTTGAATTTGAAATTTGAATTTCAAATATTTTTTTTTTGTTTTTGTAAGAAATTGATGATGTGTTGTTGTAAATTGTGAGGAATGAGATTAAGATGAGAGATTTGATGAATTTGGATTTAAATTGGAAGGAAGTAGATTAGAGAGGAGTGAAGAGGGAAATGGGGGAAAATTTAGGGAGAGAGAGTGTAGGAATGGAGGGGGCTTGTAAGGCTTAGACACGAAAAAAGGTGAGTGTTGGCTGCCATGACTTTGGGCGTGCACATCAGTCATGGCCTAGGGGGGTTGATTTGCTCAGATTAGCAAAAAAACAAGGGAAATACCTAACCCTCTTGGTGCGCGCGTGCAGCCCTATGGTGCGTGGGCACCAGCAAAGACCTATAGGGAGAATTTTTTTGCTTGGAAATGCCTGACCCTGCTGGTGCGCGCGTGCAATGCCATGGTGTGTGAGGGCCAGCCAAGGTCTTTGGGAGGGGGGGTTTCCCTCTTGTGCGTACTCTCGTGCTCGCACTCTCATCGACGCTCACGAGCGTCATGATCGAGTAATACCGACGAAGGGGGAAAACCAAAAATCTAACAAAAGTTTTCAAAAGTCAGTCGTTCATGATTAAAATTCATGAGAACACAAGCATGAGAGCTCATTTGCTCATCAATATCCTTCACCTTTATTAAACTCAAACCTCTTGAAACCTTGAATAATCACTGAAATTATTGGAAATCTTAATCAATTCAATTTCGAGGTACCTAATATTAAGAAAACAAAGAAAGATAAGAAAATTTCTCAAAAATAAAAGAAATGGAAAGATTTGAAAAATAAAAAAGGGTTAGAAAACTGGGTTGCCTCCAGGAAGCGCTTGTTTAACGTCATAGCTTAACATTCTCCACCTATCAAGGTTGTTGACGGAGAATCAATATGTGAATTAGGCCAACAAAAAAACCATAAAAAATACTTCTTGAGTATACGGCCATTGACCTTGAACGGCGATGAAGAATCCATAATAGAAATTTCAACAACACCACTTAGTAAGACATATTGAACCAAAAAATAACCACTTCACCTTCACATGAGCTTTCCGGGGACTAACCTCATCTTGGAATTATAAAGAAGAAGTTTGTAACCTACACAAAACTCTTTCTTCTCAATGAGTTTTTCATGAGCATCCTCGGATCAAGATTTGTAGGTACTTACACAATCATAATCATCAAGCCTATGTTCTTCTAATTCATGAAGATCTAACCACCTTTTCTCTCCATCACTCGCTAAATAAAAATTCATTTTCTTGGTTGCCCAATGAGCGCGGTGCTCAAGCTCCATCGGAAGATGACAAGGCTTTCCATAAACAAGGCAAAATGGAGTGGTACCTATGGGGGTCTTGAAATCCGTTCGATATGCCCATAAAGAATCATCAAGCTTGTCCGCCCAATCTTTCCTATTCCTAGCAACCGCCTTCTCAAGAACTAACTTGATTTGACGATTGAAAACCTCAACTTGGCCGCTCATTTGAGGATGATACGGAAGACCAAAGCGTTGAGGAACTCCATGCTTTTGTAATATCTTTTAAAAGGGATTTTTGGATAAAATGAAAACCATTATCACTTATCGCTTCCTTAGGCACACCAAATCTTGGATAGATGATATTTTTGAACAATTTCATTACCACCTTGTGGTCATTTGTTGGAGAAGCAATGGCCTCAACCCATTTAGACACATAATCCACCGCCACAAGAATGTATTGATTCCCAAAGGATGAAAGAAACGGTCCCATGAAATCAATTCCCCATACATAGAATACTTCCAACTCAAGAATAGGTTGTGGAGGCATCTCATTTTTCTTAGATATATTCCTAACTCGTTGATGACAACGATCACATGACTTAACAAATCCCCATGAATCCTTGAAGAGATGTGTCAACAATAGACCACTTTGAAGAATCTTAGTGGCAGTTTTAGAAATACCCATATGGCCTAGGATCCGAGTGGCACATCTTCAAAACACTAGGTACCTCTTCATTTGGAACACAACGCCTAAGTAAACCATAGACACCTTGTTTGTACAAGATGGGATCATCCCACAAATAGTGTCTTGCCTCTCGCTTGAGCTTCTTTCGTTGGTTCTTAGAAAAGGAAGGTGGAAACTCCCCACATGCAAGAAAGTTAACTAAGTCAACAAACCATTAGAGCTCTATTACCGCAATAGCATATAAGAAATCACCAAGTATTCTATCATCAATTAGAGAACCATGATCATGGATTTGGGAATCCTCAAGGCAAGAGAGATGGTCCTCCACAACATTTTCCGCTCCTCTCTTATCCATAATCTCTATATAAAAAATTAGAAGTTCAAGAACCCACCAGATCAACCTAGGCTTGGATTCCTTCTTGGCAAAAATGTACTTGAGAGCCGCATGATCTGTGAAGACAATGGTTTTGGAACCCAACAAATAACAATGGACCTTCTCAAAAGCATGATTATTAGCCTAAAATTCCTTTTCTGTTGTAGTGTAGTTCCTTTGAGCGCCATTTAGAGTCTTGGACATACAATATATCACATGGAGCTTCTTTTCCACTCTTTGAACCAAGACACCTCCAATTGTCGAATCACTTGTGTAGACACCCATTTGTGTCTCCCTAAAACCAAACCCGGAGATGAGTACCTTTCGCGTCGAATCATAATCGAATGAAGTGAAAGTGTGGAAAGCCTAGTGTTGCGGATAGTTTTAATTTCTTTTCTCTTCTCTCTGATTTTGAAAACCTATTTTAAGAAAGCAGCCAATCCAGTTTGGTTTGGTCCATTGCAAGGGTCCAATAATGGTGTAGTTGATGGGGCTTAAAAAAAGCTTTCCAACGATATATATTATAAGCCTAATTCCGATGAATAATGAGGAAGTTATGGCCACATTACTAAACTAGGCCGGTTTGATACTTATATGTGGCCCAATGATCTAGAGGAGGACCTAATATGGATTTATCACTCCTAATGCAATTAAAATTGATTTTAGTCTTCTAGATTCTAGAAGGTTCTTTTCATTCCTAATTCAATTAGCTTGATAAATTGACTTTGGTTGACTTTTTGGAGTTTTAATCAGAATAAAAGAGTGTTTTTAAGGAAAATACGATTTTACCCTTCTCTACGGCTAAATTTTATCAGAATTAAGAAAACGCGTGAAAATAATTGTTAGCGCCTGACGACAGGGATTAGCGCCTGGCGCTAATGTCCAGCATCTGGCACTAACCTGTTTTATCCTCGTCGAAACTCTAATTTGTTTTTCTATCCGTTTGGCTGATTTTCTCTATAAATAGCCTCCTAAAACCTCCATCTTTCACCATAAACAATCATAAAATATCATATATTCTCTAGTTTTCTTATTCTCTCTAGTTTTTAAGATTTCTTCTCATTCTCTCTCTAACTTTCTATACAAAATTCCGCATTCATAATATCTAGAAACACCTAGCTAAGTTCGAAGTTGCCTTCACCCTAGACGTGAAAGGTTTTAATTTCTGAGGGTTTGATCCCTAATCTCTATTTAAAATATTTAATTTAATTGTTTGTTTATTATTTTCCTTGAAGTTACTAACGTGTGTATTTTTTTATTAGAAAGAGGTACGAGGCATCCAAGTAAGTGCTTTAATTGATTTATTGATATTATGATGTAGAAATCATGTCTAGGTTGTTATGATTCCTAGTGTCATGTTAGGGTGTTTTGATCTTCCTAGTATCATGTCTAGGGTAACAACTATAATTTCTAATATCAAATATGATAATTGTGATTCCTGTGATGCTTCCTATTTTCTTTCCTAATATTCATGTTATTATCATGTTAGGGTTAAAGCTTTGATCTTTATCGTTTAGTGACATGCTATGGTTTGTTATTAATCTTATTAGTATCATGCCTAGGATCCTGCTATTATTATGCATTAATATGATGATTATTATTATGATTATTTTTATTATTATGATTATGTTTATGATGATTATTATTTATTGTTGCTTAATTATATTTATATCGTTATTGCTTGAGCACACCTTTTATGAATGTTTAAAGAGAATTGGTACTTGTAATCACGCTTAATAAGATAATTAATAATCTTGTTAGGGATAATTTGATTATAATTCAAGTGATTGCCAATAATAGTTTATTTGTGCATTAATATTCAACCAACATAGATAAACAGGTTTAGGGTTAACCTAATGATTGCATGTTAGTCAGAAAGCGCACGTGAATACGATCAGAATAAAGTAGAGGCCTATTATTATGGCAGGTTCAATCTCTTTAAGGTTGGATTTGTACCTTCATCCCCGAACTACCAGTCATGGTTCCAGACCTATTGGAGTTGACAATCTCCTTAATCGTTAAGGGTTGTAACCTTCACCTCGTGAACGGTTAACAAGTTCCTAAAACTTGTTGGCGACTCTTTTGCACAATCTTCTTTCCCTTTGGACGCCACCGTAGTTAAGTGTATAATCACAGTGGGGTTCAAGCTATGGATAATTCTTGAAATATTCCCAACAATTTTTGGCGACTCCACTAGGGAGGATTTCTATTTTCATTCCTGAAATTTATTTCGGCAATGATTTAGAATGAGTGAATGAGACTCGAAAAGTTCTAAGTATTTCATGTGCGTAATTTTGATTAACACTATTATCATATGCATAAAAAAGATCACATTGATAAGAGCATACGTAATAAGTTAAAACATAGGATTTTTACACGTGGGAAATTTGAGGAATATCTTTCACAACTAGGATCGATATAATGCTGCGCGAAACTGGAAAATTTGATCGAGCACAGAAAGCTGCTAAGGCATGTAGGAACTAGTGTCAGGAAACAGAGTCTAGTGCCACTGATTTGACTTTAGCGCCAGGCGATAGCTTTTATCGCCAGGCGCTAAAGCCGAATCGTTGGCGCCGACCTCTATTTGTTGGCGCCAAGTTCTTCTTATACCGAGCCAGAAATATTCGTTCTAATTTTGACTAGTTTTAGCACTTTTTGCTCGATCCTACTTCCTAATTGAGTTTTTCTCACTTTTCTGAAACCCATATGTTCTCTACATATAGACATTACCCTCTGGGAATTCATGCTCCATCTACCTGATTGAACGCTCTGAGCAACAAAGGGTACATCCGAGAATGTTGAATTCACGAAACCATACAAGCGAGTTTTTCTAAACTCGCGGTGTCCCATCCACTCGCGCCAACCCTTCACGATTAGGCTTCCGTGCGGTGCATCCAGACAATTAACCATGGACCCTCTTTTGACTAACCCATATCCCAAACTTTAGAGAACTAGAGCCATGGTTAGTTTGCAAACTCATTGCATCATGTTGTGCCTAATTAATTGATTTATGGCTAAAAGAACTTTGCCTAATTAATTAATTAATTAATTTGAGTGATTAAAGTCTAATAATTTAATCAGAGTCGACTTAGTACAACTTTAGGCATACCTTGTAGAGTAATAATACCGAAAGCAATTCCAGATCGACGTTCCACTAATGGCGCCAAGATTTAAACTGCAGCACCACTCTGTGGAGCGTAGTGCTCGACGACAGTCCTTTCGTCTGGCGCTACACTGCGAAGAGAGGCGCCAGTTCTGTTGTTTTGGCGACAGTTCGGTTTGTTGCTCAAGTCATCACCTTATGTCTAATTGAACAGTTTGCTATTCAATTCAGTTAATTTTTACTGGTAATAATACCGTGTCAAGTCATTAATCGAGTCTAAGCACTATGTCCCATGGTCTTACACAAGAGTCAAATCATGTCACTTACACTCACCACATAAAGCACACACTAAAGCACACTTTGACCATGTCTAAGAGAGTCTTGTATGCGCGTATTTTCAGTCATTTTTTTAGGGGGGTAAGTCGGATATTAATCCTCCAATTAAACCACTTGTTTGAACCCTATACTTAACTCCCAAAAATGTACACCTTATTTTTGCCAAATATATGCACCCTATTTTTAATTTTTTTTTTCTTTTTCAAAACTCGTAAAGTTAAAGTCAAATTGAGTCAAGTCACTAAAATAAAAATGGTTTAATTTACAGCGCGTGGTCAAGAAAGGAAGGGCGTTTGGTCAAAGACAACCTTTTTTTATTCAAGTTCAACTTTTCGACAAACCGATCACTCGTAAAAGGAAAGCTAAGACAATAATGGCAACTCAAGAGGAGGTTAATGAGCTCAGGAACCAATTGATTACTGTGACTGAGGCGTTAAAGGTTTTAACCCTCAAAATCGATGATCCTGTGAAGCAACAATAGATGGACCTCATGCAAGAAAGTCTGAGAAAACTGTCTAGTGACTATAAGTTTCAAGGAATTAGCTCACAAGGGGTCTCGATGGACAAGGGTCTTCTTCTGCAGAAGTTCAATGCCAACGACATCCCGAAATTCAAAGCAACTGACAACCCTTATTTTAACCTAATAGCCTTCAAAACAATAATGAGCATTAAGGGTATTGACAAGAAGGTGTTTCCCTCTTTGTTCTCTCTATCTCTTAAAACCGTTTGCCAACAATGGTTCTTCTCTCTTGAGAAAGAAAGAACCTCTATTTGGGAGTCTATAGTAAACGCTTTCATTGATAGGTACAAGTGCAACATTCAAGTTGAAACTGTTTTTAGGGAACTGGAAATTCTCAAGCAGAAGGAGAATGAAGGTTTCATTTCTTTCTTCAACAAATGGAGAGAAACCTCTACTAAGATGATTGAAGTACCAAGCAAAAAAGAATCTGTGAGGTTGTTCATCAAAAACCTTCAAGAGAAGTACTCCAAGCATCTCAAATACCAGAATAATCTCCATACCTTTAAGGCCATCTTTGACATTGGAATTAATATTGAAGACGACCTGGCTAAGATGAAAGTTGCTAACAATAACTCCAACAGTGGCTGGAAAGGCAAGAAGAACGACAATCCTTCTTCTTCCAAAACCACCCACTCAAACAATGTTATTACCTTTAACTTAAGTGAAGTCCTTGCTATGAATAATCAAGGACAAAAGAAACCATTTAGGAGGAACTTTACTCCTATAGGTATGAGTTATGACACCGCATTTGACCGACTAAATGCAAAAGTTCTTATAACTCCTATTGGACCATTTGGGGACCAACTAATCGAGAAGAAGACAACTAACTGGAACCCTAATGCACATTGCAAATATCACCAAGGTAGGGGACATCTTACCAAAAATTGTTGGAAGCTTAAGGAAGCTATCAAAGATTTAATCGATAACAACAAACTGCCATTGCCTCCTGCCAGTAAGAAGCCGAGCATTGACAATGCACCTCTTGCTCACTCCTTGGCCATCTCTAATGAGGAAAACAAGGTTGATACCTCATCTCTCATCAAACCTATTGAATAAATCCATGCTATTGAAGAAGAGGAGGGGATCCTTTTCGATGCCATGGATGAATTTCCTGAACTAGCAAGTAAAGAGGATATACAATTGCTTACATTGTCCATGTTGGAGGGATCAAAATTGTTACGTGAAGCTCTCAAATTTGCGAAGAAATAAGTAGAGGAGCTTCAGAAAAAATGTGACAAAGTCCCATCCACGAAGAAGAAACCCTTCTCTCTACAAGTAATTGAAAGTCCCAAGAAGAGTAATAGACTCTATACTCCAATTGGGATC